CGTTTATGTTTGACTTAATTTCATCTGATTTCATTTCAGTTTTTCGGGCTGAGCAGCTAAGCGTAACCTTTAACAAGTTGGAACGCTTGCTCCAAGGGACTGACGGCAACTTGATTAACACATTAAAGAGTTACTACACAAAATTGTTGTTGTTGTTGTAGTTGCGCCAAACTTGTTCCGAAAGACTGAACCGCAGCAAAACATGAAACGCTACAGAATTATGCGGAAATGTCTTCAAAAAGCTGTTTTATTTCTTTTTTTCAGTTTGTCAGTTTGCTGTTGCCTTTTTTGCCAGGGCGTACAAAAGTTGTAGAATGTTTTTATTTGTTTCTTTTCTCCCGCTGCTTCTGCTTTCTGGCTCATTTCTCCCCTTTCGATCGGCGTTTGCATATGCTTATGGCAGACGATTTCTTTTTTCGCAACGGAACCCGCAACCGTGCACAAAGATCGCGGTCAGTTATTCAACAGCATTTAGGTACCAATCAAGCCCAGTCAACAGCTTCTATGTCCACAAGATGTGGGTAGTCTTCGTCGTAGATTCTCTATACCTCAATCTCTCCCTATCTCACTCTCTCTCTCTCTCTCTCTCTCTCTATCACTTACTCTCTATCCTGCTCACACAGCCTCTGTGTGTCTCGCTCTGTGGCGAATGTGTCGCCGAGCTGCTTACTTTTATTAGATCACGATTTTTAATGTTGGCAAACATTCGCGCATTCCTACGGCCCAGCGAGCTAGCAAATAACCAGCAACAACAACAACTACAACAACATCTACTACAACAACTTAAGCAACTACAACTATGTGGGCCTCAGACCAACATACATATGTATATACATAATAGTAACTCACACCGAGATTCTTCAGTTATTTTTCTTTTTTTTTTTTTTTTAGTACCTTTAACAGGTGCGGATTGCTGAGTAAACAGGCTTTTGGGCCGCAATGCTTTGGCAAGAGCTGAAGTGCGTATATAAATTTGAAAGAATTTCTGATGAAAGTTTAGCCTGCATATTTAGACAGAGACAGCAAGAAAAGTAGGCACGAAGAATGTTCTCAAGGCAAGTAGTGTTGGGAAATTTCTGTATCCGGCTCCCCTCTTAAACAATCCAGAATTTTAGTAAATTTCGCTATTGAATATATATTATCTTGCTATCTTGTCGTTGTCGTTCTTATCCTGCCTTAAGTATAGTACTTTTAAGCTCTCGATTAGGCGGCTTGCTCGAAAAATGATTCACAATATCCGCTTATTAAATGCTTAAATGTAACTCTATAGTCTCCAGTTTTTTAGACTCCAGTTCTTAACGCAATATTTCTGCAGCTTTGCAACATTAGGCGCCCCATATTGGGCGCATTTAGGGCGCCCATTATGGCAGCCGCCACAGCGCAGTTGCAGAGGCACATTTCGAACGAAAACAAAAAAAAATTGTGCCTCTTTTCTGGTTTTTCACGTTGCCAGCGCGGTTTTTGCTGTGCCTGTTGTTGTTGCTGTTTTTGTTGTTCTGACTGCAGTTGTTGCAGTTTCTGATGTTGTTGTTGCTGTTGCAGTTTTTTAAACGCACGTCTTCAGAGCAACATGGTCACTAAAAGGTGTTCTATGTATGTGCGTGTGTGTGTGTGTGTGTGTGTGTAAATGTGAATGTTGTTGCTTGCAATAATATTTCAATATCTGCTGTTGTTGTTTTTTTTTGTAGGTTTACACGTTTTAATGTTGCATGAACTTTGTTTTTGCTGCTGCTGCTGATGTTGGTTTCTTGCGGTTTGTCTTAATGTCAAAACTGCAAAAGCAGCGAAAATTGCGAGGAAACGCTGCAAAGTTTTCAGCTTTGCTGTTGCCTTCAATTGACATTTGCACTTATATGAAAAAAACTCGAATAACTTTTTATTTTCGTGTGTGGCTTACAATTCTATTTTGTTGCTGTTGTCGCTTTTTTGGTGTGAAGTATTATTAGCCTGCAGAACCGGTTGATTATTTCTTGTTTTGTTTAACGTTATTAAATTGTATTGTTGCTTTTGTGCATAAATTTAAAGTCGCGAATAGCACTGAAAAAACGTTACCCCAAACGGACGAACGAACTATTTCTACGATCACGATTTTCCGCTATGAACCGTCGCGTTTGGCGCTGAGACTCGAACTGTGCTGCTCGAGTCTTGAGATCCGCTTGGCATTGGGAGACAATCACCTCTGAAGACACGACACACTCACGCTCTCAGCTCGGCTTACCTGCCAGGCCAGAGAGAGCGAAAGATCTGACGAACGATACAGACTGTGAATGAGTGTGTGAGAGAGAGAGAGGGAGAGGGAATGCATTATTGTGACAGTTGGCGCGCCTCAGATAAGTGGAATGTAAATTGTTTAAATTTCTTTTCAATTATTTTTGTTTTTACTACTGATAAATGTGCAGCTATCAAAGTACTAAAAGAGCTTACGTTCGTTTCTTGGAAGAATGATTGAAATTTCTCCAATTATTACATTTCTGTGTACAAATAAAGCCAGAGAGGAGAGAGAGGAAAAAAGGGAAACACCACTGAATGTACGACTTACTATGGCTTCTCTACCTGCAGGATGTTTGGCGAATGCCCGCACATTTCTTTTATTTCCTTTCTTTGTTTAGGAAATGCCTGGATAAATAATTGGCAACTGAATAAGTCCGAAGAATTTGCTGCGATTTGTAGATGACATGTGCATGGGAAAAATATAAATGGAATGAAGAAAATTGGGAGAAGTGGAGCAATAAGTAATATATAAATAAAACATTATTAGTTTAATTAAAGTATTTTATTTATTTTCATTTTGTACAATATTCAACCAAATGCTTTGCATTCTTTTATTTTAAATTATATTTTTAAAATATATAATATAAATGTTTATAATATTCTACAAATATATATAATTTATATTTGACCAAACTAATTTTTATTTGCATTTTTACCCTGAAGAAAAAAAAAAAAAACAAAACCTTTTAAATTCCCCCGCCAGTGCAAATGTAATCGATTATGCAGCCCTGGCTTTGCCTCATCACTAGCAACCACCTCGCTCAGCTGATAAGCAGCTGGTTTATCAATTTGCCACACGACCTTTCAGTGTCAGTGATCAAGAAACCAAGTGGAACGCACGTAGTTGCTGTGTAAATTTTGTAATTTGTAAAAATTCGAATATTTATCCGTCTTTATTGAGTACAGAGTAATAAAAATAAAAAAGCATTCTGCAAACATGAGCGAAATAAGCAGTGCAGATAAATTGGAATATGTTAAGTCAAAGATTGGCAAATATCTGGATTTCCCTAAGAAGGGCATCGTTTTCCGGTGGGTCAGTTAGCTTTATCAGTACATAGCATGTTTGTTAAGTTACATGTGTATATTTTATTGGCAATATTAGAATGCTTATCAAAGGATTAACATGTGCTCCCCTTTCTTATCTCTATTTGCCTCACAGCGACATATTCGGAGCCCTAACCGATGGCAAAGCGTGTGTTTATCTACGGGACTTGTTGGTGGAGCATATCCGCACCACTCATCCAGACGTGGAGCTTATAGTAGGTCTGGATTCGCGTGGTTTCCTCTTCAACATGCTGCTGGCCACTGAGCTGGGCGTGGGCTGCGCACCGGTACGCAAGAAGGGAAAGCTGGCTGGTGATGTGGTGTCTGTAGAATATAAGCTGGAATATGGTTCCGTAAGCAATTTTAGACTCATACTAGGGATCGACTATAACACATACTCTATTTATAGGACACCTTTGAGCTGCAGCGCACAGCCATTAAGCCTGGCCAAAAGGTCATCATTGTGGATGATCTCCTGGCCACGGGTGGCTCGCTGTCGGCTGCCAGCGAATTGGTTCGCAAGCTGGGTGGCGTTTTGCTGGAAAGCCTGGTGGTTATTGAGCTCGTGGACCTCGATGGCCGTAAGAGGCTGGACTGCGATGTGCATTCCCTGATACAGTACTAAAAAAGACACAGACTTTCCATAAATGCATTTAGATGGAACTTCTCTTACCTCAAGGATCACCCAAGTGAATTTGTATAATTTTTTTTATAAAATTTCCTATGAGAATACTTACACACAATGGTTGTCAAAACAAATTAGTGCAAATAAATAAGTTAATATTTTTATATAAATACTTTGGCTTAGAAACTTTATGTACTACCCTCTCCTGTTGGAGCAACCCTCTCTGCTCTCTGTGCGCTCGCTAGTCAAGCATGTTCTCTCTGCGCATTTCAATTTCCATGTGCTGCTCTTGCCGGCCTTGCCTTTTGCTCAGCCATAAACAAAAGTGTTTGGCCTGTGGCATCATAAAAAACTGAGTGAGCTCCTCGCTCGCCGATAAACAAATCTGAAGCACCCACTCAGCGCCCCGCTCTGCTCTGCTCGAGCAGGCAGAACGCTCTCAAACAATGGACGGCCACATAGCGACGCCGGCGCGAAAACTGAAAATTTTCAAACTGAAACTGACAGTCGGATGGGAGAGCGTCGATTGGGCGACTGAACTGGCGTCTGGGTGAGGGGGCAGCGGTCGGGGGCAATCGACAGTGGCATTAGCAGCCTGTGCTCATTTCGTATTTGAATTCATTCGTGAAATGTGCGTCGCTCGGAACGGTGCGTTGTTTGAGGCTCTGCTCAGTGCTCAGTGCTCTGTGTTCTGTGTGTTATGTTTGCTGACTGTTCCGCGAATCTAAGGCCCATCTGCTCTCTTTGTCTTTCCACCCGTTCCTCTGGCAGGCCGCAACAGTTTCGCACGGCCGACCACCAACTGCGAGTGCTTTGCCGTGTTTAGTTTAAAAATATACATTTTGCATTTGGCGCATTTAGAATCACAGTTGCTGCTTCACTTAATATTGATTGAGCGTCTTTCAATTGGCAAACAATCGAATCACAACAACAAATAGTGGCGAAAGTCGAGCGGAGCAGGCCAGCAATTGATAGTGTTACGTATACGCCGCGTGCGCCCACATTTGTTTTGTTTGCGTGCTTCTGATTGTTTGCATGTGCGAGTGTGTGTGTGTGTGTGTGTTTTGTATTCTAAGCGCGTGTGTGTGTGTGAGTGTCGTGCGCCAATTTGAATGAATTTTATTTAAATGCCAAACCAAACTTGGAGCATTGCCTAAAAAGTTGGCAAAAAAATGCGCAAGCAGCGCGTCCATTAAATAATATTGCATATTTGCAATTGGGCTTGCAAACAAATTAAAATTTAGCTGCAAAATCTACTCGATGTTAGGCATTTGCATTGCACCTGCTATGTCCAAATAACAAAAACTCCCACTCTCCGCGCAAGTAGAGTCGTAAAAATCAATAATTGACATCTTGACTCCATGCAACCGTAGCAGCAGCAGCACTGGCCTAGGCCATATGAGGAAAAAGAGTCATAAAAGACACCCCCGAACAGAAAGGAGCCCACCGAAGATTCAGTTATTCGTATTTGTTGCTGCTGCAGTGACACAATTTTTACTGTTTGCTTAGCTATAAATACGGCGGAAGTATTTCGCACAGCAGCAGTTGATATACTACATATATTTGAGTTAATATACATACATACATGTATATATATTCATATATATGTATATATTCTTGTCATCAATTATGCTGGGCATGTTACATTCACGTACTAACCATATATATATCTTTACTGAATATATACTACAGCACAACAACTAAATTTAGCTAGAGCAACAACAGCAACATCAACGAGCTGGCATAAAAAGGCTATGAACAAATTGTACAAAAACTGTCACCAACTGCACGCAAAAATATTTCTCGCGTAGCAGCGACAGCCAAAAAGTAAAAATATTATAAATAATTTATATATAATAAGAAAAGAAAAAAAATAGAAATAGAAATAGAGGAAACAAAACATAGAAATGTTGTACATCAATAGCAAAGCGAAATATATCAAAATAAATGTGACTTCGAGAAATATAAGAGTCGGGAACAACATGAGCAAGCACGAGCTAGTGGCTAACTAAACTACAAACAGTTCCTATGCATTTAACCTTGTGTTTAAATGAAATTTCACAAGAGCTACGCAAATTGTCGCGTTCGGCGATATTTGCTCATATTTACGGCCTTATCGCTGGTATTGCTGCCCCTATCACTCATATACTTGGTATGGAACGAGCAGCTGCAGAAGATTAAGGGATACGAGGTGAGTAAGCCTACAAAAAGAGTTTATGTACATGTATATATATAAATAAATATATATCTAAATATATATTGTAGTGTATAATGCATATATGTATGTAGTATCACAAATGTTGTTTGAGTACTTGGCCAAGGACATACAAATGTATCTTTGTAGTTGTTGCTGGCTGGTAGCTGCCTGTTAGCTGACTTCCAAGTGCCCTGCAAACATATTGTGCATTCGGCTCGTGGTAAAAACGTTTGCAGTGCGCTGCCCCTGACAACAAGCAAATTGTCGGCAATCGATCGATCGTTACTAAAAAACATTCCATATATAGTAGCTGCCATAGAGAGAAACGAGTAAAACAAAAAGTTGCATACCCAGTAATTATCTCCTTGGGCTATTCATAATTAATAACAAATGCAAGAATATCTACATATAGATGTTTCTATAAACGCCATCTGCTAGGCCTCATAGTGCGAGGGTATTTAAGATATATATTTATAATGTGCCAGATACAGCTATATTGTATATACCTATTCGCCAGATGAGCAATTTTCAATTGCTTGATATTTAAATTTCAATATATTTGCTTGTTTGTTTATCTAAGATTTTAGCACCTCGTTGCAGCTTTAGCAGGCCTCTGCGATGGGCAGCTGGGCGGAGGGGAGCGCCTTTAAAAAAGTGCGAATTAATTAATAATAAAACACGAGCCGTTTTCCCATTGCTAATTACCAATTGACACTTAAATGACGAACTGACACGCCTACTGTAGTACGCCCTTTATAGCTGGCTTTGCTTAGCCGCACACCAGACACTATGGCGACCTCCTCATACCACAAAAAAGAAAAGAAAATCGCACAACGTCCTTGGGCAATTTGCATTGCAAAACTTTCGCTAGGACTGGCAATTTAATTGGCTTGACTTGACATGGCTTTGCTTGGCTGGCAGCAAGCGCTTGGTCAGGACATGTCCGAGGCGCAAGAAAATCGATGGCTGGGACCAGAGCAAGCAGAAATCAATGGAAAGTTGCCCACTAATTTAAGTGACTTAATGCTTAGGCAGCCAAAAAGAGAAATGAACAAAAAAAAAAAAAAAAAAAAAAGCAATAAATGAAATAAAACACGCATACGCCGTGTTGTGCTCTACATAGGCATAATTAAGCACAGCGTCTAACACGTAACACACCGAATTCACCTACACACACACACTCACACACCCAGGCACCGACTTCTGCTTAAGTGACACGCTGCCCACATCACGCCCACATATCACATCTCCCATATATACGTATTAACCTCCCACAGTTCACGTCATGCACATAGCGCCACTTTTGCTGCGAACAAAATTCTATAAAAATGCTACACCTACTACGCTATGATGCACTCTGAGATACCTCGTAATAAACTATATGCCATTTATTTAACTAAGTTGCGCTTTAAAGTAGACTATAATATATTAGTGGAGTAGTACAAAGTAGATGATGTAATTTAATGAAATTTAGCAGAAATAATTTAAAAAGAAATTTATGTATATAATTAAATATATTAAACACTAATTTGTATAAATTTGCATGTAAAATTCTTAATAAATAGCTTTCCAATTATTAATCTAAGTTATATGCCAGCATAGTTCTCTAATCAGTTTTTAATGGTGTAAATACTTAATATACAAACCGCAACTAGGCGATTACAGGGTATTCTTACACAAGCCACAATGCCTGCTGAGCATTTGTCTATGCGCTAAACAATCATCTAGATTTATAATGATGCCAGTTGACAGAGCTGCCCACTGGCATATTAATTGGGTTCGTTGAGGCTACCTTGACACTGGCATACCATATGACATGAGTCAGTGGTGCGCTCTGTGGTGCCAGTGGTGTCAGTGGTGTCAGTGGTATCGCTGGCATCGCTGGTGTCACTTGGGCCCTGCTTTAATACATTTATATTAGGCTGCTTTCTGCTGAGACATCATGAAACGAAAACGCTTGTATATTACGCATACGCCACGTCATGTTTGCATTTAACCTACTGTTCTCTCTGTAACCCTCACTAAAATAGTAAATGTGAAATGCAAATGCTTTCTTTTGGCTTTTGTGAAACAGCTGCAGCAGCAACAACAGCGGCAACAGCAGCAGCAGCAGCAGCATCAGCAGCAACAGCAGCCACCACAGTCAATGCGGGCAAAGCAAATCCAGCCAGCGGGTCAAACATTTCGTTATCCTGTCCTGCTGTTGAACAAAAACAAAAACAAGGAACTAACCGTGGTGGCAACGGGCAAGACTAAGAATAAGTGGCGCTATGTTGATAAAGTAAATATCTAACACACACACACACACACACACTGTGAGACACAGACACACCTCTACACTCTCACACTCTTAATGACAAAGTAAACACAACAAAACTCAAGCGTTTAATTTATGGGTGCATTATAAAAGAAAAGAAGAACACATTGAAATTCCTTAGCCTCATCTGTTCGCCATGCCCAACTGAATGAATGAATGATTGGCAGTTCTTTCTGGGCCGGGCAAATTACCACCACGGGTCTCTCGAAAAAAAGAAGAATTGTATTTGCTTGTATAGTCATTAAGTGTTTGCTGCCAGCGCCTCATCAATGCCTCATTTATTCACACACTCCCAACTATTTCCACGCAGATCAACAATGAAACAGGCCTCTCGCTCATACCCGAGTATGCGATACAGTCGCTTTCCCCGGAGGAGATGCAGGACATGTCCGTGGTAGGTGCTGTCAGCAATACCCTAATATGCATTACTTAACTCTTATATTCATATACATTTTATATGCAGCGCATGGAGGCGCGACTCAATAGACTGAAGGAAAAGTGTTCGGAGTTCGGGCTGGATGTGGTGGGTGAGTAGGCTCGGCTAAAACAATTTACGGCTAAAATATATTTACATTTTAATTATAGGCCCGGATGCCTGGCACACGCCCAACACTTGGGAATTTTTGGTTAATAAAAAATATCATATTATATGGTAAGGGTGCCTTGACGGAGCTCTGACGTGGTATCGTCTAAATTTGTGTGTATGTGTTCTTTGCAGGTGCAATGTGTTCAAGGCGGCCTCCTCGTCCTGGATGTTCAATTTCAATGTGCTGGCTGGCTACACGCCCAACTATTTGCTAAAGACCAAGAAGATTCTGCTCAATTTGGCCAGAGAGCGTTATCCACGCGTAACTCTGCAAGAGGTGAGTCAGCTTTAATTAATTTTAAAGTTTTTCATATCAACAACAATTCATGATTGCAGTTGCGTGAGGCGCAGAACGATTCGACTACGTTTATCATAGCCAGAAATCCCTTTGAGAGACTTCTGAGTGCCTATCGAGATAAGATCGTATTCGCGCTGCCCTATTCCTTTCACGACAAACTGGGTCGCAGCATTGTGCGTATTTATCGCAAGAAGGTAACAGGAGTTGTGGAACACTAGAAAATATAACCCAAATTGATGTTCTCCACTTGCTCCTTGCAGCCCAAGCTGATCTCACGTGCGGGCAACACAAAGTACCCTTCGTTTCCAGAGTTTGTGCACTGGCTGCTCGATCAAATCAAGCGTGGCAACTACATAGACATGCACTTCGTTTCGGCCACATCGTTCTGCACGCCCTGCCTCATACGGTTCGATATGATATTGAAGTTCGAGTCGCTGGCAGAGGATCAACTATATCTAATTGAAAAGACTGGCCTCCAGCGCGTCATAGCGCCCGTCTGGCGCAACATGGGCAAAGGAGGCAGAAAGACCCAGGAGCTGCAGCAGCAGTTCTATTCCCAGCTAACCAAGCAAGAGATGCTCGAGCTCTACAACTATTACCAGTAAGTGCAATGCCCAAAGGAGCTGAACTGAGTCAAAGCCCAGATTAATTTATTCTCTCCCCATTCTTAGATATGACTTTGATCTGTTTGATTATGATATCAAGGAATATTTGAAGTATGCCAGAGCTGACGAAGAAGCAGGCGCCGCCGCATCGGGGGCGTAACTACAATTAAAATTCATAGAATTTATTAAAAACGCAGAAAACCAAAACTAAATGTATACAGAAAAGAAAGGAAGATATCACTTAGACACGTATGATCAAATTAGCCGTCACAGTAGGTAATTGCAAATGTTGATAATAATGAATGAAACAATAATAAAGTTAATTGCTATAAATATGGTAAAAACTAGAGCAATGTTTTATATTCTTAACTAAAGACTTTCCACTTGAACTGAAAATGTATAATAAATTTGAAAAAAGAAAAAGATAATTCCGATTCCTTGGCATCTAACAGTGGGCAGATAATTTGGGTCCAAATGTCCATTTGGTTTTATTTATGTGTTAATGATAATAATAATAATAATAATAATGATATATTAATTAAATGAATACAAAATATAGCAATAAAAAAATTGGTAAATTTATCTACATACAATTTAATGAATTAACTAGCTAACTGAGATACCGTTACACATTCTCAACATCCAACATCGATGATTAATTTTCGGCAATAATGTTTAGTTTTTTAAAGTTTGTTTTATTTTTTTGTTGTGTTTTGTTTTGTTGTTGATTTTTTTTTAGCTTTTCTCATTTTGAACTTAATCTATACATACAATAGGTTCTTGTATTTATTAATTGTAAAACATAATATGTATGTATATATTTATAGATGTATATAATAATATATTTAGTTATATGACTACTAAACTATGCGCTGTTTACGTCTGTGGTTTTGCCGGTTTCTATTACCTTTTTGCATAATCATATTGTAACTCTTTAGCACACACACAGAATTTAAATTTGTTTTTCTTTTTTTTTAATTAATATACTTAGTCCGATTTCAATGTAATTTACAATTTTGTTTTTGTTTTTTCTTTTGTATAAAATTGAACTATTTTGTGGCTGGTGCAAGTGTTTTCAATTAAACAAAACATTACAATATGCACACAATCCATCGATTTTTATACCCTGATCCCATTGGAAATGGGAAGTCAGAAGCTTTAATAGTTTTGTCATTTTTATTGATGATTCCGATTTGGTTGAACGAACGCGCCACTAATATAAAAAACATATTTTTAGTGCCTAAAACTACGTTCGGGGTTTAGTTCTTTGCCGTAAATTTGTTAATTACGTTGCGTTTACCTAGTTAAACTATTGAAAAACTTAGTCTGGACTTTTTACAAATGTGTTTTGTTATCGTTTGTTTCTGGTAATTGTTTTATACATAATCTAATTAAAATTACATCAATTTGTTTAAACAACTACAACTAGTTCAATGTATGCTTTATGTGGATATTTCTCCGTTTGTTTATAATTTTATTCTCTCTTCCTCTTTCTTTTTTATTCGCTTTATATGCCATGATGGTTTTATAAACCATTTTATGTTCCTCGGACTCGAATGCCGCAATCTAACTTAAGCCTAGAATTTACGCTCGATTTCGTTTAACAAACTAAGCTACACAATTTAATCATATTATTTATATGTTTATATCGTTTAGATAAGGCCGTCAATGCAATTAATGCAATTAATTGTGTTACAAATTACAAAATCATACGTTGGCTAACTGCACGTTGAGTGTTGCTTTTGTTTTTTTCCTTTTTACTACTGTGAGTTGTTTTGTGTTGGTTTTTCTTATTTGCTTCTCTTTTTTTTTTTTTTGGATTGGTTTGGTTTGAGTGCTGCTGGCTATTTAATTGGAAAACGAATTGTCATCAGATTAAAAAATTTTTAATTACAATTTAGTTGGTATTTCTACGCATATGTATTTAAATAGGGCGCCTAACTAAAACAACAAAGGGACGACGCAATTAAATGTGACAGCTAAATAATATTGCAAATTGAAGAACGCAGCTGCTAGGCGCTAATAGAACAATTATAGCTGGAACTGGAACTAGAGTTGTAGCTGGAGCAGGATTTGGAGTAGGGACAGGCGCAGGTGAACTCTTGTAGGTGCGTAGGTATGTAAACAACAGCGGCGCCAGCAGCAATCACTTGAGGTAAGTCTTGAACAGCATCGTGCTGCGACAAAACTCTCGCTCCTGCTCCATGAAGAAGAGCATGTCACGCAGATTGACACGCTTGATGCGCGGCCTTAACGTTGTAGTCGCTGTACCCGTGTTGCTCATCAGGCCGCTGCCACTGGAACCCTGTGTGTGTAGAGCAGACGCCAAGTTTGTTGAGTAAGCAATGGAATGGTCGCTGGTAAGCTGATGTTACTCACCACGCCCACACCGGCCGCATCGCTATCCAATTTGAGTTTTTTCCGTGGTCCGATTGCCTGCAAAGCCGTTAAATTTGCGTCGCGCTGCCTCAGCTCCTCCATTTCCGCTCGCTGCATTTCTTTTGCCTGGATGAAGAGAGGTAAGTTAGAGAATGACAGAGTAATTTAGTTGATTAATTGATCTTACCCTCGCCTTCATTTTTGCCTGCTCAGGATCTTCGACTCGCGTTCTAGACTTGGCCGCTCGCAGCAGCATCTCTCGTTCCAGCTCTTCATGTCGCTTTTGTTCAGCCTTGTCTAACTCCTCTAGAAACTTGATTTGACCGCGCACATCCTTCGCAGGCTCATACCGTGGATCCAACTGTGAAGTGGATACATTTATTGAGAGCTGAATTGGCGAGCAGTGAAAATCTTATCTCACCTTGATGACATCAATGCGGTGGTCCGCTATCACAGCCAACTTCTCCACAATATTCTTAAGCCGCTCCTGGCACGCATGCGATATGAGCACTGCCACATCTTGCGACGGTTCGTCTAAGCCACGTTCCGCCGTTATCGCGCGTATTCGCGCCTGCAAGGCTGGAAGGTTGAGAAACACTTCGTCCTTGCAGGACCTTATCTGCGTGCCAATGTTTTCGGTACATCCAAGAATGCGTTGCGATTCCTCGGCCAGATTAACACCACCCATGGCGGCAACATCGTTGATATCATCATCGCCATATATTGACGATGACATAGAGCTCTGTTGGAAAAATGAATTGGCGGCTGCGGCCGCTGTTGATCCTGCCATCCCACTGCCGCTATTCGCCTTCTCATCTTTGCTTTCTCGGTCCACTGTATCCCTTTTCTTTTTACTTACCGACTTGTTGGCCACGGGCAACGCACTTCGCGGCAGCGTTTTGCCCGAAATGGGAGTCAGCGAGGCATTGATACGTTCCATATGCGGCAGCTGCGGTGCCTTAATCTCCACCAGCTTTGGCTCAAAGTGATTGTTGTTGTTGTGATGCAGCGAATTTTGCATCTGCTCGCGTGCCCTCAATGCCTCCGGCGGCAGGAGTACTGTGGGCAACGAAGGCACCGGCAACGATGTTGTCGATGCCGAATTTATCGTCGATAGCACTGATAACGTCGGTGTTGGCGGTGGTCCACTGTTCGATGATATGGCCGCCAGCGAGGGCGGATGCAAACTGGGCGTTATGGCCTTGATCTGTGTCTGGCCAACCTTGACGGCAGTGACTTTGTTCGTGGGCGTACTGTTTGGCGGACGAGATGTGGCGCGTATTTGAACCGCACCCGTTCGCTGCAGCTGTGCGTTATGCGGTCCGCGTATCTGTACAATGTTCTGTGAAGGTGTGAAAAGTGCAGATGAGTATACTAGGTTCACCCAAGAACAGAATTAATCTCTATGCTTACCGCCTGCGCGGACATTGGCAGCGAGGGCATTTGGCCCCTTATGGCCAGCCGCGGCGTTGTGGGCAATCGAATGTTTGGCGGCTGCTTGGATATAGTCGTATGGCCTATCGTCGGCCTCGGCGTGTTCAACGAGTTTGGTGTTATCATTCGCACTTGCGTCTGTCCAATGGTTGTTGTCTGGCTGAGTCCAATCGGACGGATTTGCGCTTGTATTTTCTGTCGGAAGATTATGTAGGATCATCGATATTTGATTGATTATATGAACATTAGGTATGTTTACCGGAAGCTGCGGCGGAAGTCCAGCCAATCCCAGCACTTGTTGCGGAGGCGGTTTGATGCCCTCAATGACCAGTTCCTTGGTGTAGAGCGCCTGGCGCAGCAGTGGCAGACTTTTCTGTAGAAGGTACAGCAAATTAGCAAACGCAAGGAATCAAATTGATTGACTTGATTACATACCTTTAGAAACCCAATGAGGCACGGCTGTGGACTGGCGTTGAGCAAACGCTCCAGGCGATCACAAAACTCCTCTGGCTCCACATTCGCATTGACCAGCTCCTGGATAAGCGTGCGTACATTTTTCTCCACCGGCTTCGGTTCGCGTGTCGACAATTCAATTAAATTGGCTAAAAACTTGCGACACTTTTCTTTGGTATTGCCCTGCGCTGCCGTTGACGTTGTTGTTGAGTTCGTATTCGCCGTTGACGTCACATTCGCTGTCGATGACGCTTGGACATTGTTTGCCTGCGAATGCGGTTGTACGGCTGGTATCGTTTGGATCTGCGTTACTTGGGGCAAATGCGGCGTATGCTGCTGCAACTGCGCCAACTGTGGCGGATGTGACGAGCTGCTGAAACTGTGCGCATTGCTGCTGGCCACCGAGTTGACAATTATGTTGCTGGAGGCGGTGGTGCTGGTCATCGACTGTGGTTGAAACAAATATTACAGATTAACAATCAATTAGCTGAACAAACTATGAGTAGTCAGTGCAAATTAAAGCGATAAGCGGTAAGTTAAAACGAGAATATAGTTCAATGATTCTTATGCAGGCGCTCATGGGCTACGGGCTCCTATTAGTGGGAGTGTGTGCGTGTATATGGAATGAGTGCAAGTGGTGTTCGGGTCAGTTATTGAGGTCATGTGATTAATTAAGAAATAACACATCAGTTACCGCCATAAAATATTCTTAAATCGTTCAAGTAATTATAAAATTAGTTAATTCAGATGTTGTAGATTTGGAAAAAAAAATCGATTGTTTTTGACAAATAACACACACGCCCCTGTGAAGCCCGAATAGCCTCTGATGCCTTGTTCATTTATGACAACTATGCTGCTTAGTTTCTAAATGATCAAATAGAGTTCAGTTCGATGATTGTTTTTACGAACAGCAACGCATTTTCGCAGCCGTATAAAAAACTAAATCAAAAGAATACGTCAAGTCAATTACACAGACAGTTACAACGCAGCATGCAAAACTGAGCAAAAGTACGATTAATATATATGTATATTCATATGTATAAGATATATTGAAATGAAAATTGAAAAAGTTTGGCGAACAATCGAACAGTCGAGTGCTCGAAGTTTAGCCGAAAGTCTAAACAAAATTGAAAACTGAAGCGTAGCGTTAAAAAACAGATCAAATGCATAAACAGACAAGAGAGAGGCGTTTAAGAGAATACATAAGTATATATAGAGCAAATTGAAAAATATTGGGAATATGAGAATTCCCATTTCAATACAAGTGAGGCTTTGATTTTTACGTTTTGCTTGATCTTAATTGTGGCTGCGACATTTGCCGCTGCAGCTGCGGCTGCCGCGGCGGCTGCGCTGTTGGCACTGGCAGAGGCCTGTTGCTGCTGCTGCTGTTGCTTATGTTGCTGCTGTGCCTGTTGCTGCTGCTGCTGCTGCTTCATTTGCAGCTGTAGCTTCTGCTGTTGTTGCTGCTGATGCAAGTTAGTAGCGGGTTTGTTGTTGTTGTTGTTGGTAGTGGTTGTGGTGGTGGTATTGGTGGTGATATTATTAATATTATTATTGCTGGATGGGAGGATTGTGGATGATGTACGGACAATCGTTTTGCGCAGTGCAATGCTAGTGCTGGCAGTAGTTGCTTGCGAGGATGCTTGTGTTGTTGTTTGATGCTGTTGCTGTTGTTGCTGTTGCTGCAGCTGCGTTTGTTGCTGTTGCTGTTGTTGTTGCTGTTGTGATGACGATTGGCCATGATATCTACTTACAGCTGCAGCCGGCACAGTTTGCAGACGTATCTGTGTGGTTATGGGATGATTTGTGGTTGTTGTTGTGGTGTTGTTGTTATTATTATTATTGTTGCTGTTGTTGTTGTTGCTGCTGGTGTTAGATATGGTCTGTGTCATCGTCGGCGGGCCCGTCGATGTGGCCGTGCCCACGCGCAACAACTGAAATCCATTATCCGTTTTCACTAACAGTGCAGGCGTTTGTCCTGTATTAAGTGTGCCTAAAGTTATCTAAAATAGAGAGAGAAATAGAGAGAATAGACAGAGAAAAGTTCAAGTACAAGGGGTACCCGCTGATATAAATGCATGTATATGTACAGATGTGTATGTGTGTGTGTGTGTGTTTGTGTTTGGTTTGGGAGGGAGATTTGGGTGCATGAGTGTGTGCGCTGTATTAGGGAGCCTTGTGGATTAGTAGAGAAGAGCCCACCACAACAACAAAACTTACAAATACACGCATTCTTCTATTTAACATTCATTGTGCACACTTACCGATGGACTCTGTGGCCTAACGCCACCCATGTGAGAGTTGCTGATGACGACACGACTGAGCGAATTTGCGGGCATATTCTTTGGCTGCTGCTGCGTCGGCGCCTGCGGACGCATGCCGACCACCACGCCGGCAGGCAGCATAGAGTTAAGCAGCGGCTGCCCGGTCTGTGGATGGAGCAAGGATTAGAACAACAATTGCAATATACGTTTGGAATATTTGAGTTTCTATAGGCGGCATACAAAAGCTTTGATAGAGTTCATTTTGGATTTTTTTGTTTTTTTTTTGACTACAACATGCAGCAGATCGGAGGAGTTGCGTCCAGTCACTGAGTGAGTCACAGTTCATTCTTTCACAGATCACAGTCAAACAAATGTGCATGGAAGAATGTGTGTGTGTGTCAAATACATTTAAAATTTAGATGGAACATATGAGATTGCCTACTAAATATGATGAGATGAGAATATTATTTAATATATGTGCTGGCCAATTCGAAAGTCATCTACAAGCTGTACTACAAAGAAGCGACCGTTTTTAAAGCGATTTGTTCAAAGAGAAACTCTACAAATAATACATAATTTGGGTTTTAATTAAAAGCATAGAGTGTGGAGCAGGAGACTTTGACTCTTGGTATGACAGTGAGCAGAGCATTCACAATTTGTGAAATTTCATTTTAAGAGAAAAATAGATTTTATTTTTTGTAATAAGTAACGATAAACAGGAAGTTGCTTCGCAACAAATAAATATAATTTTCAAAATTTTTGATTACAGTGAACAGTCAATACAGTGACCTAATTAACCACAAAGAAGCTTTCTTTTTGATTTTCTAATATCATTTTTAAACATTTCTCAATTAGTATCCACATTATGTTTCCAATTGAATTTAGTGCCTAATCATTTAGTACTAGCGTTCATTATACCGATAGTTCACTGTTCACTACTGGACGTTCCAAGTGTCACAGTTTAATTGGGCACGCTAATCGTGTCCAGTAGGAAACAAAAGGGATTGAAGAGTCTGGAAAGTGAGGAGGATGAGTGTATGTGTGTGTGGAACAGGAATAACCATTGGACGCAGGCAAAGAGATGCGAAATGAATTGCATCAGAATCTGGCGCTACTATCGCCTCACTAGAAGACGGTTACGTTGGGAGTTTAGCTTGATGGTGGATACCTGATTTATGGTCTTGGTCATTGTTACGATTCCTGCTGGTGCACTTGATACTAGACCCGCCGGCAGGGTGACAGCATGGTGATTGGATTTAATAACTAAGGTTTGTGTTTGGGTGGCACCTACTGATTGCGAATGCTGCTGCTGTTGCTGCTGATGCTGATGTGATTGCTGATGCACCTGATGTTGCACTTGCGACAGACCGGGCACCCCATGTCCTCCAATGCCCGCTGTTATGGTCTTGATCGTCGTCGTATTTGGCAGCTGTGCTGTTGAGATGATCGTCTGCCCAACACCCCCGCCTCCTGGCCCACCTATATTGATGGTGCCATTGGGCAGTGGCTGGGTGGTGAAGGTGATACGATTGCCGGCAGTCGATGTGGCCGGCGGCGCCGTTTGGCTACTATTCATTGCTTGACCTTTGCGGTGGCGGTTTCGGTTTTTGAAGCGTTAGCGCTTGAAGAGCCGGAAATGGACACGGCCCTCTTTCCCAGATTCTCTTCTGCTTGTGACGTTCTTTAGCCGCCTGGTTTCTTGATCAACTGTGCGTCTGTGCCATGTTGTAATTATTATTATTGATGTGGATATTACGGCTCCTGTCTAACACTCGCATGCTGTGTAGCCGTCCGATGCGAACTGCAATGCAAATTTTAATTCACTTTAGTATTTATAGCGGAAAACCTACACATAAGTTATTATTATCGTTTTTACACTCTCGCGGGGCTGCAGCTGCTTCCACTACCTGGCTGTGGCATAGTTATACCTGTGGGTCATAAAACGCGAGTGCGTGGATTTTTTTTTTTTTCTTTTCTCCTTTCGCTTGAAAGAGCCGCAGATGTTTGCTAGGCAAGGGACGGGCCGCGAGTGTGGGACGCAGGTGAAAGCCGACAAACGAGACGATGCGATGCTAATTTAGCATAATTATATTCGTATTCACCTTGGCCAAAGCCTTTGGGTGCTCCGTTGACAAACGACAACCGCAGAAAAGCGCTCACTCTTGCAATCGCACTCGCTTATTCACGCGGCTGCTGCTGCTGATGCGCTGGCGACGACGACGACGTTAACTCCTTGTCGCTAGCTGATTAATGTTATATATTTTCTTTTTGTTGGCCAGAATGTTTTTCTTTTATTGTATTTTCACACACACGCGCGTACGCGGCCTCTGGCACAGACAGTTTGTTTAGCACTGTATTTATTGTCGCTTTATTTTGATTATTTTGGATGTACAAAAAATTTGGCAGCGACCGAGCGACAACGCCGCCATTTTCACGAATGCGCGTGCAAAACGACAGTAAACGCGCAAGGGGCACAGACGTCGATAAAAGTACGAGGCAAAAGGCAACGCTGAAAATGTTACATTCAGCCGCTAGATGTCGCTAACAACAACGGCACTGCCAGCCCAAAATAAGTACAGCTTTTTTGAAGCGAGTCAAAAACTGCGTACGGCCAACTTCAAGAGAGTGGATAGTTAGGGGCAGCCAGCTTCACGCGAGTTACAAATTGCGCACAGCCGACTTCACGCAAATTAAAAAATTGTCATTCTCTGTCCTGGAATTCTCTCACGTTCTGCCGAAGCATTTTCGTGTATCAATATTTGACCTATTACACGTAGATTTTTTAACAAATATAATATATGTGGGATGAAGAATTTTCAAAAATATAATGTAGAATGCAATTTGTTGCTAAGTAGGGCGTTTGCTGACTGTTGCTATCTTCTGGCGGCTGGCAAGTGATGTTGGTGTTGGTTGGTACAGGCTGCAGTAGTTTTTGAAAATTTGTGGCTTATTTGACAAAGGCACTCACTTCAATTCATTTTGCATTTGAACTTGGTTCACTGGAGCGCATTTTAAACGTTAAACGTTGTGTTTTATTGCCGAAAATCAACAAATGAATGTTTACGAACCGTCCACCGAAAGCAGATTAGTTTTTACAGAAGTGTGACCAACTTTTGCAAACAAAAAATTACGAATGAAAAAATTAAGGTCAAAATACTAAACAAATTACATTCGTATTTAATATGATAAATTACAATTAAGAATTTATATTACGTATTGTTAATTAAAGAATGTTAAATTGCAATATTTCATTTGTGTTAAATATTTAGTTAATAAAGCGCAGCATATCGAATTCATGATGTCCCGCAATCGCCGGCCTCCACAACGATAATAAAAGGTTGTTGATGACCAGACATGTGGGCGGGAATATAATACAGCACTATCGATTTTAAAATAACTTTTGACATCATAATAGAATGGAATCAAGTTAAATACAGAACATAAAGATTCTGAAAGAATAATTAATTTAAATTTAAATGCACAACAACTTGTTGTCTCTCGCCATTCGCTATTGTTGACGTGTGTATATGCTTTTGTTGCTGTTTATGCTAACAAGGCTAACACCCGATCAAAAACAAGTTAATGAAATTAATCAAAAAACATCCACTTAATGTCGCTGCTGATGTTGTTGGCAGGGTTAAGCATCAACAAGTCGCCAGGTCTTCAGACTGGTTTAAATAATTTTTGCGTACATTTCTTTGTATTTCATTTCAGTTTTATTATCTAAATCATAATTATGTATCTTAAGATTAATAATTTATGAGTATTCTGTCATTTACAAACCTAACTAGCCGCATTATACACAATATTTACAAGTTTCCCTACCATAAATCTAATTCTTGTTGCTCAACCTTGGATCTGTTCTGGTTTTGGTCGAGTAGGGCCGAGTCGTCGTCGTTGTTCGATTCTGACCAAAATTGTATTCATATACCGTTTTGGCTCCCACCTTGGCACTGTTTTCCTGAAATTTGGCATAGTTCGGGCTGGCAGTAAATTTGGATTGGTTGGTCAAACTGGACGTCGCGGTGGGCTTAGTGACAGCTGATGGCGACGTATGAAATGCATCGAATTTTGCTTTAAATTTCGCAAAGAATGGATGGTCAAATGGATCTTTTGTCGTAGCACTCCTCACAGTGCTTGTGGGGCGACGAGTTGACGTGGTTGTGTGTGATTTAGTTGAGGTAAACAAGTAAGGTCGTGGCGTGGTCGATGGGACAATGAATGGATGAGGCTTTATGGTGGTGCTTGGGCGAGCTTTTGTCGGTGGACGAGTTGTGGTTCTATAGGTGGTAGACGTTCTCAGACTGGGGCGAGCTGTAGCTGTTGTTGGCGTTGCTGCAAATGGATGCCAGGTTGTTGTAGAGCGGAGTGTGGGCCTCGTTGTTGTGGACTGTGTTGTAATTCTCGTCGTGGAACGTGTTGTGGGTCTTGTTGTTGTAGAGCGTGTTGTGGGCGTAACTGTTGTGGAACGTGTGGTTCGACTTGTGGAACGTGTAGTGTGGCTTGCTTTCGTAGGAAGTGTTGTGGATCTGGTGGTTGTTAAACGAACGGTTGGTCTGGCAGTCGTGGAACGTGTCGTTGTTGTAGAGCGCGTTGCAGACTTTGTTGTTGTCATGAATCTCGTTGTAGCTCTGGTTGTAGGACGAGCAGTAGTCTTCGCTGTGGTATGAGTTGTAGTATGAGTTGGGGCTCGAGTTGTGGGACGAATAGTAGTACGAGTTGTAGTACGAGCTGTGGCTGGCGCTGTGGTAGGAGTTGTAGTACGAGTTGTGGGACGAGTTGTAGCTCTTGTGGTAGGCCGAACTGTAGTCCTCGCTGTTGTTCGTGTTGGGGCTGGCGCTGTGGGTCGAGGCGTAGAACGAGTTGTGGAACGAGTCGTAGCTCTAGTTGTAGGACGAGCTGTAGTCCTCGTTGTGGTACGCGTAGTGAGACGAGTTGTAGTTCGCGTTGTGGATCTGGCTGTAGTAGTACGAGTTGTGGGTCTTGCAGTTGTATGTTGAGTTGTGGATCTGGAGCTAGTTTGCCTCGCTGCTGTTGTTGTTGTGACACGACGTGTTGTTGGTATCGAACGCGCTGTTGTTGTCGATATCCGGGTTGTTGGCGAACGAGTTGTCACTTTCAAAGTAGTAGCTGGCCTAATTGTGGTAAATGGACGAGCTGTTGTTGTATGGGGTCGAATAGCGGCTGTTGTTGTTGTTGTTGAGTGAGCTGTTGTTTTGTGTGTTGTTGATGGCTTTGTTGTAATCGCTGTTGTTTTTGTGCTTGATTGTTGCAGACCTGTCGTTGCTGCTGACGACGTGGCCGTAAATTTAATAATCTCCTGTCGAAAGCTATCGCTGCTTATATAAGGATGATGCGTAGCCTTTACAGGTCTAGAAGTGGTAGATATTTTGTGTTTTTCGGCTTCTGGCTTATTAACAAGACTCAAGAATGTATTTGATACAGCTGAGGATGGACTAGATTGAATTGTTTGCTTACTTACAACCGAGGCTTGAATATTGCTAGTTGAAGGTTTATTAAAAGGTTTTAGAAAGGGATTATGACTATATTCGGTCTTCGTTGGAGCTGTTTGCCCAATAGATGCAACAGGCCGAGCTACGGGTTTGACTACTGCAGGCTGCTGCTGAGGTTTGAGTAACTGCAAGAAGGGATTTGCGCCAAATGGATGATTGGGTACCACACCAACATGGGCTGGAGGCTTGACAGGCTTGGCGGTTGTAGGCTTGGCTGTTGCAGGTCTGGCAGTCGGTGCTGCGCTCAGGCGTTGTAGAAAAGGATTTGCGCCATATTCATGATTAGCTGCGATCTTTACAACAGCCTGATGCTGCTGGACAGGCGCCTTCGGTGGCTTCGCATGGTGGTTGGGCTTCTGTGCCTCGGCAATCTCATTGCCTGTAAAGCAATCACTCAGCTGGGCCAAGTTTTGGTTTCTACAGTGACCATTGTATACGGTCCAAGCGTTGAAGCCATCACCCGATATGCGCGTGTGCTCCTCGTGTATAGTGCGAATGCATTGCACATCATCCGTAATATCAGAGTCCAGCAAACGATCGCATTCAATGTGGCAGGCCTTGCCACCGCCCTCGCCATGCGTGCACCAGTAGAGATCGCTGATCTGGAACAATCCATGATCCTCGCTGCCATCTGCATTCAGTCGACCCACTGCAGCTGTGTTGAAGGAAGATTCATGCTGAGCTATGCACACCCAGGTGGGTATCTCCTGCATGGGCACCTTGTGTTTGTGATACAATTCCTTTGCCAACTCACATCGACTGTAAATCTTGCCCTTGGGCTTAGGTTTCCTTACCAGATCAGTGTATGCCGGCTTTACGGGCTTTACTGGTCTTATGGGCTCCTTTTCTATCTCGTTTGGCTCAAAGCAACTGGCAACCTCTGCTCGGCTACGATCTCTGCAATGAGGATTGTACACTGTCCAGGCGGTGAAGCCATCTCCTGATATTCGCGTATGTTCCTCATGTATAGTCCGAATGCATTTGACATCATCGGAGATATCCGAGTCCAGTAAACGATCGCAATCTATGTGACAGCCTTTGCCTCCGACGCCTCCGCCATGTGTGCACCAGTAGAGATCGCTGATCTGAAACAATCCATGATCCTCGCTGCCATCTGCATTCAGTCGACCCACTGCAGCTGTGTTGAAGGAAGACTCATGCTGCGCTATGCACACCCAGGTGGGTATCTCCTGCATGGGCACCTTGTGCTTGTGATACAATTCCTTTGCCAACTCACATCGACTGTAAATCTTGCCCTTGGGCTTAGGTTTCCTTACCAGTTCAGTATATGCCGGCTTTACGGGCTTCACTGGTCTTACAGGCTCCTTTTCCAACTCACTCGGCTCGAAACAGCTCGCAATCTCTGCTCGGCTACGATCCCTGCAATGGGGATTATACACTGTCCAGGCTGTGAAGCCATCGCCAGAGATGCGCGTATGTTCCTCGTGTATTGTCCGAATGCACTTGACATCATCGGAGATATCCGAGTCCAGTAGACGGTCGCAGTCGATGTGACAGCCCTTGCCTCCGGCGCCCCCGCCATGCGTGCACCAGTAGAGATCGCTGATCTGGAAGAGACCGTGATCCGCGCTGCCGTCCGCATTTAGTCGCCCCACCGCCGACGTATCCAGACGGGACTCATGCTCTGCGATGCACACCCAAGTAGCTAAATCCTGCATTGGAAACTTGTGTGAGAAATACAACTCTTGGGCCAATTCACAGCGTTTATAAACTTTACCAGCTCGCTTAGATGTTGTGTAATAGTGTTGTTGTTGTTGTTGTTGGTATGAATAGTGTAGCTGCTGTATTTGTTGTTTTGGTGTTGTGTGGTGCTTGTAGGCGAGCAAAGGATTCGTTGCTGGCGTGCTATAAACGTTTGCGAAATGCGACTTAACAGGACTCCCAATGAGATTGGGATGCGACTGAGTGTGCGACGTGGGCGAAGGCAGGCGAGGGCGCAGGAAGGGATTGCTCTGATAACTGGACACAGCCTGCACTGCTTGATAGGTGATCTGCTTGTGGGTCGGCCTGTAGTAGGGATTCGGCGTCGTGGCAGGAGCCAGCAGCTGCGGCTGCGCAAACGGATAGGCATAGCTGACCTTGCTGCCCCCGGCAATGGCATTGGGATGCGTGGCAGGGGCCACTAGAGGCGGCTTGGCAAAGCAGGCGGCCACCTGCTCGTAGCGCTGGTTGCGACAGTCCCGATTGTAGACAGTCCACGCCGTGAATCCGTCGCCCGAAATCTGTGTGTGCTCCTGATAGATGCGGCGTATGCACTGCACATCGTCCGCGATGCTGGTGTCCAGGAACTGATTGCAGGCAGCATGGCAGCCCTTGCCGCCGCGCTGATCGTGTGTGCACCAGTAGAGATCGCTGATCTGGAACAGGCCGTGATCCGCACTGCCATCGGCATTCAGGCGACCCACTG